TAAACCAATAATACGAACGATGATGATGATGATTCATGACTGCAACGAAGCAACGAGAAGAGCAGAGCCAATGCTTGAACCATCTTCCATGGCTTTAACGACGACGTATTGACTCACTTCTTCTCCTAATATCTCAATCAGAGCTTCTTCCATGTATTCTCTAAACATGGTGTAGTTCATGTACAAGCCTCCTTCTACTGCAACAACTGTTCTTTTCTGCATTGTCATCAACTCGCTTCTGCTTCTCCCGCTCGTGATTCCTCCGCTCCCATCCCGGCCTATCTTCTTCAAGATTCCCGCGATTCCCGCTGCTGCTAGCCTCCCTGCTCTTCTTGTCACCACGTCGCATATTTTCACCACCAGTTTTCTTACCTTCAATGGTACATCTGTTACCTGTTTCCTCATTTCATTTCATGTAAGTGACGCTTCTTTCAAGTTCCATGTAATAACATTTTCAATCTTCAAAGTTCAATAATACTCGAGCTTTTATTTAAACTTACCCCTAAGTCTTTCAAGATTCGAGCCACTTCTTGTAACTCAGGTGTGTCATCTTCATGCATGGCTGAGACTGAATTCGTTCTGAGAGATTGAAGTAGATATGGGTTAAGTCGTTCAGATAACACGGAAGAAAACACATCACTAATTCGTTAGCATCAAATGCTCACCACTAACTTATTTAGGACAGTTATTAAAGTGTGTCTATGTTCATTAAGAAGTCAATGCCGAAGATTCATTAAGATTTAATGCAAAACATCGAATTTCTGCCAAGAGACTGAAGATGACATGTACCTTAGAACGTAAGGCTCAGATAAAGTGGATGAGCTAAGTCCAAAGATATCGGACTCTTGTGACATGCGAAGAATTACTCTTCGAACAATGTCACCCAGATACATTCCCGATATCATCTTCTCAAATCCCTATAATAAGAAAAACCCCAAAAAGATCTCAATGGTTATTGATCTTACCTGATAATAACTCATTATGCAAAAAGAAAGATGGAAGTTAGGCAAAGATTACCATATCATTTGCATTTGAACTTTCTGCATCTAAGTCAATGTCATATGAAGTTCTAGGCAGATGTGAGGACCAAAAATTTCCCCATTCCATATTGATCACCTGAAACATAAGAAAGAGTGAATCTTTTACATATATTTCTCTGGAATCTAAAAGCATGATTTGGTGGTTCCAGAATAGAGGATGAAATGATTCTTAGTACCATGCTTCCAGACGTTGTAAGCAGACCCTGACACTTGATTATGGCATCGGTTCGTTCCAAATAACATGCATTACTACCTGTTCCAAATACAACCGCAACAACTGTATCTGGATCATGATAATATCCAAGTGACAGGGCTCCAACAGTATCATTCACCTGCTCAAAAGAGGAAACTGAAATCAGAACCAGGCATAAGTTCAAGGAAAATGATTCTGTTGCAGTGAGAAAACACTTACAAGAGCCGCAACATGCATATCAAGGCCTCTTCTGTCCAGTGCTCCTTGTAGACATTCAGTTATGTCTTTCCCAACCTACACAATAATAAGGCTTTGCATGTTATATGATGAATCTTTTTTACAAGTTCATATGTTAAATTCGCAATAAGTACCACGATATGGATTACATGGTCACAAAGTCATAACAAAATGGTCAAGTTCAAGGCCATCAACTCCTGTTAACCAAAGGGTGCTCAGATAGTGCTTTGACAGTAAAAAAGAGTGGTTCTATCAACTTAGCACGGGTTGAAAAAGTAAATAACATAACCTTAGAACTATTCAAACAAGTAACAAACAATATCTGAAAGGCGAGGCATGAGTTGCAGAGAATATAAGAAGTAATGTAAGTATCACAATACTCACCATTTCACTAATCTCAAAACCTTTGGTCCATTTGATTAGAACTCCTGAAGAAATAGAAGTATGCTTGACAGGGAATGAAAACGTAAATGCAAGCTCCCTTTTGACACCTTGTGAATTGGACTCGTTTCCTTCTTTTTCGATAAACCTTTCCAAGGAAAAAGCGAGGAAGTTGAAAAGAATCTGCAATCATGTGAACAAAAAGAAAAACAGACGCTAAACTAAGCAGCTTGCATTACATATATCAAGCAAAGACTGGTAATAAATAAGTAAAAAAGCCAACTAGTCACCTCGCTGGTGCTATTCATCAAATGTGAAGGTATGGGGTGTCTTTCAACATCTTGAACATCTAGATACGATCTTTGACCACCTAGATGAACTCGTAAGATCCTAAAATAAGTGCCTCCAAGGTGAAGTGCATAGTAAGTTCCTTTCTCCCTCCTGAAATAAAAACAGTCAATGCAAATCTCCACACAACTGCAATGATAGGATCTAAATATTTAAACAAACAGAGTTGTTGCAACAATGGTGAGTCTACACAACAGTTTAGCGTCTAAATGCACTGAATTACAATATCCAATGAAGATAAGATATAAATTGTCAAAGCTTCGCCATGGAAAGACCCGCATGCAACAAAAAACAGAGAAACTTATGGTACAATATGCAGATACCAATACATTTTCCTTGCCAAGTAGCAATCTAGTGGATAGGAACAAGATACCAAAGTAAAGGTAAGAGATAANANAAAGAAAAAAAAAAGAGAAGTCTTTCAAGCTTTTCCTCCTCCTTACATATGTAAAATTCACATTTAAATTAAAAAGAACAGAATCAAAGGATCTGTCCCTAACAAATGGTACCCACTGACACTTCTTTAATTCTCCTTGGCTCAACGTAAAGCTCAAAGCCGAGACCCTAAATCAAAGATACACCCTTTAGAGCCATCAAGACCAGAAACGACCTCGTTACTAACATTTCAGACCAAGATATTGTAATAACAACAAGAATCAAACAACAAAACAATCCCATTTCAGTGAATTTAGAGTATAATCAAGCAATGTAGAGGAAACCAATCCAAGACCTAAATCTTACCCATTAGGCAAATCATCGACGAAAGTGAGCAACATTTTAAGCTTTGAGCCACCTTCAGAAGCCAAACCAGCGTGCATCTCAACCGCCATAGCATCAACCACTTGTCTTAATCTACCAACCGGAGTATCACAAACATCCTCCAACTCTTTCAAAATCCCAACTACAGTCCTCCATTTCCTCCGACTCTTCATTCTCCTACCAACCATCACCG